CTCAAAGAACTGAAAACTCAAGTTCACACAACAGTTTCTACACAAATGTCGATAGCAGCTTTATTAATAATATCCCCAACCTAGTTATCCTTTCAATGGGTGAATGGTTAAACCAATTTTGGTACATTTGTAGCATGGACTATGAATTAGCAATAAAAGTTAACAGATTGTTCATTAACTTTCCAAGTGAATTAGGCTGAGTCAAAATGCTCAGTCCCCAAAGTTTACATACTGTATGATTCCATTTGTATAACATCCTTGAAATGATGAAGTTATAGAAATGGAGGAGAGATTAGTTGTTGCCAAGGTTAAGGAGGGGGTGAGGACAGAAGGGGAGAGGATGTGAATATAAAATGTCAACCTGAGGGGTTCTCATGGAGATGGAATGTCCTGTGTCTAGACTGCATCAACGTCAACATTCTGATGGGGATACTATACTACAGTTCTGAAATATCCTGCCACTCAGGGAGAACTGAATAAAGCGTGCGTGGGATCACTCTGTTATTTCGTACAAATACATGTGGATCTGCAATTATATCAAAATGTAAAGTGTATTAAAAAGACAAACAAAATCAACCACTAGAAAATATGCCAATGTGCCTGTGTTGAGAAACCCAGTTCTACAAGTACAGGCAGGCAACACCACATAAGGAAGCTAAGGAAGGGATCCCTGGTTGGGAGGAAGATCAAGGGAGGTTTAGCAGAATTCATGTCAGTTGGTTTGAGCCTTGGCGAACATTGGGTTTCTAGGAGCAGAAGGTAGGGGAAAAATTACTGTTGTGAAGAATACTCAAAAGTTGTGTCATGGTGGTTCAAGGCATCTAGTTGGCAACAATGGGTAGTCTGAGGCCCAGAGCAAGGAGCACCCTGGGTAATGCTGGGTAAGTGCTGAGTTTCAGATACCAAGCTCTGAGTTGCAAGTGTAATTGAGCAGTTGCTCATATACTCTTGACACACAGAGTGCAACAGAGGTGGGCCAAACACACCCAGTAGGAAGCAGTCAGGGCGCCTTGATGTTTAGGGGTCATTCATGATTTTTTGTTACTCATAGTCTTGTAGGTAGTGAGTGTCATGATCGAGCTAGTTTTCAGTAATCTGTCTGGTGCCTGGTTGTCTGGCACCTACGTTAGAAAGGAGAGATCGAAGGCAAAGGAGACAGGAAATGACTGAGGCCTGTCTTGGGGAAATGGAAAAAGGAACAGCAAAGACTGGAAGGAAAATGGAGACATTTCAGGAGATTTAGAGACACCCAGCTTGGCAAGAGAAGCCTGAGCTGATTCTGAAGTTTCTGGTCCAAGACAGAGGTGCCACATCTCAGGATGTCCTTTCCTGAAGTAGAAACACAGGGAGATAAACAGATCCGAGAGGAAGAGAGGCGATGGGATTGGTTTGAGACTTGGGAGGTGCAAGGTGTTTAAAGTGCTGCTGGCGATCTCCATGGAATAGAGACTTGGTTCTCTAGCCAGGGAGAGAGAATCAGACTGAAGATAGGTCATTGGAGGTTGGATGAGGTTACTTGAGTGAGAGGAGGTCCAAGAACTGAACTTGGGAGAATATTGACACTCCAGTTAGGGAAAGTTGGAAGTGAAGAGACCAAAGAAGCAGGAGAAAACCTAGAAGACAAAGCTGTCTCGTTTAGGACAGGGAATCCTTACAGGAGATTACACAGCAGAACCTGGAACTGCAGAGAAATTCTACGGGATCAGACAGAGGAGAAAAAGCATTGAAATGAACACTGAGGTGAACAGTCCTTGATGAGAGGGACCTGGAAGGAGCAGGGCAGGACGTGAAGGGCTGCGTGCACTGTAAGGAATCAGGTGGAGGGTGCCACCGATGACACTAGCCTTTATTTTTCAATACAATTGCTAATATTATGATTAAAGTGATTTTCCTCCCATTAATTTTTTTTTTGCACCTGGTGAACTGTTCTTTAGCATCCATTTCATCATTAGATATCTGTAAAGAAACAAAACTAGAGGAGCCACAGAGAATAACTGAGTGGCGAGGCCTTTTACCTGAGAGTTGGTCACTTTTAAGGTCTCATTTTAATTCAAATCATTGTAGTGTATTTTGTTTTGATACAGGTTCTGTGGTTGGAAACTGAATGTTGATGAGTAGGTGGAAATTTACATTTTAGCTTTGCAACTTTTTTGAAGTTTCAGAGCTGGGTTAGGGAATTCGTGTGCATATATGTGTGAATTTCATGAAAATTATATTTTGTGTCTTCCAATAGTTGATTAAGCTTTCTTACTCAGTTCTGCTTTTCCTTGAATGCCTGTGAATCTCACAGTAAAAGGCTTGTCTCACAACCTCTGGGAATACCATGCAGTGCAGAATATGAGATTTTCAGAGGCCCAAACTAACTTGGTAGAAATTCAAATCCATCTTTTATCTTTTAGATAAAAGCCTTTGAAATCCTTTTAGTGTGAAGTTATCAGCAGGCTTGATTCTCATATAACCTCATTACTAACCGAAGGACTATTCAAAATGCATGGAGAGCGATGCTCTGTGTCTGAAACTCAGTTTTTATCAATTCTACAGTCCAGTGATAAGCCACACGTGGTCCCCCTAGTTCTGCTTGGGAAACTCTGCCGGCCCACCCCCACCCCCCTTGGAGATCACAATACAAATTCAAGGCTCTCATAAGTTGTGCATTAAAGAAACCTGTCCAGCTTTATCTGAGCATTTTTCAAATTTATGTAACTGCTAAAACTTTTTCTATATTAACACTTTATAACTCATGTAGGAACTTTGTAAGATAAGAAGCGATATGGATACTTTTAAGGGATCGATGGTGTTTTCAATATATCTATGTGTTATGGATTGGCCTTGGTGAAGTGTGAGGAAAAGTTCTTATCCAGCTTCACCACTGATCATCGCTTCTCCCCCCAGAATGGTCAGAACTAGGCTTTTGCATGTTTTCCTGAATAAAAGAGAAGAGGTTCATCAGTCACTGTCTCTACTTTCATTCAGTGGAATAAGCTTCCAATTAATAAATTAAAAGAGTTTGTTATGGACATAAAAGTATGAATGAAAGATAGTTATATCAGGCTCACCAATTGTTATTCTAAAGCTCAGTTAAAACAAGATAATTCACTCCTTGGGGGACAAATGTAATTTCCAAAACTGAAACCATGTCACGATTTGCTTATTTCATAAAGTGTGGTCTTATCTGCTTAGATTTACATTGGAAGCAATCCTCTGGCAGTTGCTCCTGGTTGTCTGCTGAGGAGGAGACAGGCATAAGAACATTCCTTTTTTATTGCTTTCTTGAACATCTGAAGCTGGGGTGGGGGTGGGAAAGGTTTACCTATCAGGGCCATAAATGACCAAGTCTGATGCCAGAGAAGTAAACTGGTTCTCTTTGGAAGATGTGGCGTATGGCTCAGGTTGGGGCCTCCATATGTTCAAACCTGTCAAAGGCATTAAAAAAAAAGTCAGGGGAGAGCTGCCACCTCCCCTTCATCAGAAAAACAATCACTCTAATTTTAAAATATTATGGGCTTTCCAAGTTTTTTTTAAGTTCATAGGTGACCTTCCTGATCTCACTCTCTAGGATCCTGGGCAAGGTAAGGTCTGCCTGGTGACCCGATTCCAGCTGCCAGATTCGGGTCAGGGTGCCATTCGGGGACAGCATTTGAGGGAGGGCCCTGACACAGACCCCGCCCACGCACGCCCAGCAAGAGTGTAACCATTGGAAAGGTCACTGCCCCTTAGCGAGACTCAGTCAGAGGCTGCACAGGCTCCCGGCAGGTGCAGTGTCTAGGAAGGTCACTGCCACCCCTGGGCTCCCGTGACTCCCAGATGTGTTGGTGCCGAATGGATGGTACATGCTCAGAGCCTGAAATTACTCAGCTTTCTTCTCTGGACATTCACGCTCTGGTTAGAGGCTGCCAAAATTATGACAGAATCCAGTGGGGGGGATTTTTATGGCCTAATAAATAATATTGTAGAAGGTCATAATTCCATATTAGCCACTAAATATCCAAAATATATAAAGTATGCAAAGTTAGGTCCAAGATATGGATGAAAAACAGCTCAGTGACATTTCTTAGGAATTGCTCATTTTCTTTTTCAGTCTGAAAGTAGAACAGGAACATTCAACTAAACCCCAGGCTCAGAAAGCTGAACACCGCCTACAGGACTTAAAAAATTACATCGACAGAGCCATTTTTCTTTAGGCTTTAAATTACCAATAAAAAATTCTTCATGGAATTTTGGAAGAAATCTCAAGTTTTTAGACTTCTAAGACTTAGGGGGGGAGGCTCTAGAAACTCACTCCGTGGTCTTTCTAGAGCTACACTCCTGAAAAGGCACTGAAATCATGATAGAGGAAAGCTGTGGTCCTCGGTTTCAGCTCCTCCTCCTTTGTTGGGTTAGTAATGTCTTCTGTAATAAATCCTAACATCCAGCTGTGCTCCTAGGCAAGAACTTCTGCCTTTTGGATAAAGTCATTTGCTTCGGATACAGTGAATCTACTTTTACTCTTTCTGCCCTCACTTCGCAAGCGCTGTTACATGCACACACACACACACTCCCCAGCCTCTGCTATATAGTCTTTTATCTCCTCGAAGATCTTTGTACCTGCTTAACTTGTCTTTTAACCCCAGGTGTTTTGAACTTTTTCACCCCTTCATATCCCTGAAAATCGCTATAACTCTCACCTCCTAAGTCATCCCTCGAAACCTCTCCTTCCCTCAAAATAACAATCTATCCAGTGGTAAAATTTGTTGAAAGGCATAGTGATGCCAGCAGGTCCTGGCGTATGGGGATTGCGACAGAAAGAGACCACCAGTTCTGCAGGGCCCTCCTCCTACAAGATCTCAGTGGATCTCCAAGGACATCTTTGGGACTGGACATAACCCAACACAGTGAACATCCCATATGCTGTTAGAGCTTTTTTAGCACCTACAATATTGACGCTCTTATTGTTTCCCTTTCAGGCAGGTTGGGCTAACATTTTCTATGTCAGTTAAAACATTTATTTTTGTTGTTGACAGAGACCAGATACTGCTACACTCAGCACACAATGGAAGTCACAGGAAACAGCATCTCTGTCACCAAACGCTGCGTGCCACTGGAAGAGTGCTTGTCCACGGGCTGCAGAGACTCCGAGCATGAAGGCCACAAGGTCTGGGCAACAACTCGGGTGGCCGGTACAGCCCAGTCAGCCTTCCCCTACCACAGCTGCCTGCCAGTGCTCACGGGCAATGCTCACGGGCAATGCTCACTTCCCATGTAGGCGAGCTTTTGGCTGTCCTTCCAGCATTATGAGAAGATGCTTCCTTTTCTGTTTACTCTGAAAGAATAAAGACTTACACCAGGGTATAGGAAAAATTATGTAAACACAACACCCCAAGAGGGCATTGAAATTTATTGTAAACCCTTTCCTCACTCAGAAGAAAGTAATAAAACTTCCAGAAGGAAGAGGATCAAGGGACCAATTATATCATCATAGCAAAGCATTGCAGGTGTCCCAATAGCTCATTCAGCTGAGGGGGGCCCAGGCAATTTAGCTTTGACTACTCTTGGTCAAGTGGGGCCCGTGCCTTTTGTGGGATGCTGGCTTTGGGGAAGTACTCATTGGCTCCTGAGTCATTTAAGTAGGTGATGAGAGAACCATCTTCTTGTGGGTTTGGCTTCCCTGAAACTCCATCTGGTACCTGTACTGAAGCACTGAGTTTAACACCAACTTCTAGGGCAGCCTTGGAAGAGAATATAGGGAATCAGAGAAAGGCCGACTGACTCATGGTTGGAATGGGGAATGCCCCCCGAGTCTTGCTGGTCATCAGAGCTGGCTGCACACATATCTGAGCTTGTATTTCAGGCGTTGGCCTTGGTTTGGGGTCAGCCCACCTCTCCCCATTGGGCAGCCTTCCTGGGGGCTACGATAGCCTGCAATGGTACTGTTAGTAGGGTTTCTTTCTCTCAAGAAGATGGGCACTTAATTTTCAGAAGACTTGTCAAATACACTAAGAATTCAATTGGAAAGTTATGATCTGCCTACTTGCTCCTGGTTTGAAATATGTAGGTAAACCCAAGGGCTTCGCACGATCCCCTAGCAAGCTGGGCTTGACTCTCAGGCCTTAATGTGGCTACTTCACCTAGGAGGAAGTTGCAGATTGAGAAGTGACATTACGTGCTCAGGTCACACAGCTACTACTAAGCGGTAGAGATAGAATTCAAACTCACTTCTGTCCCCTAGTTTCTCTCTTCAACTTCATAGTGCCTTTCTAGCCCTTGTCAGCTGTGACCAGACTGAAACCTCTGCAGGATAGTGACTCTAGGGTATTGACCACCACAGTCCTCAGACATTACTGTGGATGTGACTCACGTCAGGATCTTGTGGAAATGCAGATTCTCATTGCGAAGTTCAGGGCATGTTTGAGATTCTGCATTTCTAATTAGCTCCCAGTTGATGCTAAACCTGCTGGCCTGTCCTTAGTGTAGCCATGGCCTGAAATAACTTCTGTCAATAATTTTTTGGGTTTTTATTTGTGCCTTATGATCCACAAGTAAAGCTGCATGAAATAGGAATAGTTGCATAAATGAAAACACTTAAAACCTTAACTCACCCAGGAGAATGGAGAGAATTATGCAGACAGTTCTAATGAATGTAAATATTTAAGTTTAAATGATCTGGGTTGTTGCCACTTCCCTTTCACTGTGAAAAGGTGGCAAGTGAAAGTTGCTCTCCTAACAGTTTCCTCAAGGAGTCAGAAAGAGCCTCTTTGAGAAGGGTAGGGTAAATATTCTTCATAACCCCCACTTCAGAGAAGGAGTAGCCAAGACCCAGGAAATGTATAAAACTGTAATATCGGCATGGTTGGATGTCAAAAGCAGAAGAACCCTTATCCCTTGAAACTTGGGTGGGGGCTTCATTGTGACTCCACTGCTTCCCAGTGAAAGCTCATCCCCTGCCCTTCCATGCAGTGTTGGTGTCTCCTTAGTAGAGCCGGTAATTTTCATTTCAGTCTTGCCATGAGGGAGACAGTTGCTTCAAAAACCCCTGCCTCCTTCCAGGATCTGCCAGTTTCTCATCTTGCTTCCTTTTCTCCTTTTTTTCAGGTCTGCACTTCCTGTTGTGAAGGAAACATCTGTAATTTGCCACTCCCCCGAAATGAAACTGATGCGACATTTGCCACAACGTCACCCATAAATCAGACAAATGGGCACCCACACTGCGTGTCAGTGATAGTGTCTTGCTTGTGGGTGTGGTTGGGACTCACGTTATAGCGGTTCATAGGCACAGTGTGTATCAGAGATTTATGGGGGTCTGTGGTCCATAGTCCTGCATGAGTTGTTGGCCTGGCGACAGTCACTGCAGTGCTCCAGGATGTCTTCCTGGCCGAGCGTTTCCACTTCCCATGAGGAACAAGCGTGGCTTCAGTGTAGTCATTTCTCCAAGACCTCATCGAAGCCAGCCTGCCAAGTTCTATACTGTAAGCCTTTGTTTTTACTCCAACAAATATTTCTGCATTTACTAAGATCTGAGCTCTTAATTTGGAATGCGTGCATGAGCCAGAGGAGGTCCTGGGACCCCCTGGGATGTTAGGCGACATGAATGGTTGTGTGTTTTTCAGGAGGAAGTTAAAGGACCACTAGTTTAAATATAATCACGAATTCACTTATAGCTTTAGGATTTTAAAACTTTAATTGCAAAATGAATGGGCCATTTCCTTGGAGATTCCTACTAAGTCTCTAGAAAAGTAGTAAGCAACTTGTCCAATTTAATTTTTCTAACATTCCCCTCCCAGTGGTGAGGATCATATTCCCTCTGCTCTGTGTGGGAGGTAAAAAGGCAATCATAAAAATCTGTCATGTGGGGGGAGGGGGCTGGCGGAGGATTTCCCCTAATTCAGTGGAACTAGCATCCATAAGTAGCTGTTTGTCTCTTCATATAACTGGCGAGATCGGGCCTGATTTGGCAGCCGGTTGTGCTAGCCTGATTCTACCTGGCCCAACGGGTGTTCAAGGAGTCCCATGGCAGGCGTGGAGTTCTACTCAGACATAGCTAATTTAGACAGGATTTCAAAATGAAAGGAAGGAGAATGTGTGGAGGTTGAGCCTAGCTGCTCCTGAGGGTCCAATGAGCGGCTCAGCAGATCCTCCATCTGCAATGTATGCTGTCCAAGAGCCCTCCCCAATCTTCCTCTTTGAACGCTCCAGTGATTTTAGGGGGAACGTTCTACACTGAATTGTCTGGAGATTAGTAGGGAAAGAAGACATGACATCCTAGGATGAGAAGCAGGTGCACCAGTGGGTTGTGGTGAGACTGGTAAGGGGACCCAGTGGGAAGTTCTGATTTATTTAGCTGATTGCTTTTGGAGTAGACAGGAAAAGTTTCACCATCCTTCCTATGTTTTCGCACCCCAAGTTACATTTTTTTCTTCTTCCTTGTATATCATTTATACAATATTTATTTTTGTATGGCATAACTAGGAACTAAAATATATTGTAAAAGATTCTTTATTCTGAGCAATCAAATCAGAATACTTATTTTTCAACAGTGGTAGAGCTTGTGGTATATGCACATTGAACATTATCTATAATACTTGCCCCAGTGTTGAAAAAGTTATTTATGTTGTAAGCAAGACTAATGTGCTGGCTTCAGGGTTTTGCTCATGTTTTCCTCAGTGGTGGGGTTCCAGAAGTATCGGGGTGGTGGCCATCACTGGTCTGAGTTTCTCTGCAAGGTTTAGCATATTTGCATGAAGTTCAGTGGAGCCATTGCCAATACAGAGGACAGTGTTGTTGGGGGCCATCTGCTCCGCACAGGAAACTGTCTCTGGCTCATAAGATGAGACCTCCTCAGGGACCAGATATGAACTGACAGTGGTAACTCTGATACACAATAATTTAAATTGCATCAAATAGCCTTAAATCAGAGTTTGACAGTCTTATCAATAAGTTGCTTATAATTGGGGTGGGGAATTAGAGGGAGAAAAAGCAAGACATTTGTTAAGCACCTCTTCTGTGCCAAGCACTATGCTAAGCACTTTACATAAGTTAGGTCATATAATTCCTACAAGAACCATGTAGGGGAAATTACTAGAATTTACACTTGATAGATGAAGGTACCAAGGCTCTAAGAAGCCCAATGACATGAAGCCTTTTCCTTCTGATTTAGGTTGTATGGGATTAGGTGAGATTGAAGAGGAAGGGAAGGTGGAATTTCCACCCCTAGGAAAACTTCCAGGCCTGACTTCATGGGAATTTGGTCATCTTATCATGTTGCGTTTTTCTAGTCCTGCCTTTGCAGGGTGCCATTTGCATGTGTCCCCAGATGTTTTTCTTTGGGGGTAAAAGCATGGTCTTCTCATTCATTCCTCTCCCTAAAAGAGGAGACAAGCTGATCTTACATATAACAACACTGTACAACCACGAAAATTTGATGTACATATCTGCAAAGACATTTTAGTGCATGGTCACTGTCCACTGACACCTTCCAAGTACTGCATGAGATTTCAATAAGAGACATCATCCAAATGTTGGTTCTCAGTGAGAAGATGGGCACTCTGAAGCCTCCCTGGCTGCTGTGCAGGGCCCAGGTCCAGTGGTGTCATCTGCCACCCCAAGGGTCACTACAGTCTTTGAACAGATGTGGCTGTGTACATCCTGTGTCCCTGTCAGAATGGCTGGTATTTTATTCCCTTGAAACTGGTTTGCTTCCCATCTCCAGCCTCAAGGAGCCATGGAAGGAAGTACTGTCTACGCGGAAGGTCCAGGACTGGTCATCCATCTGACGTTTCTACCACATTCAACCCTCTGTTCAGTCTTACCATTGGTGATGGCTTGAGTGCAAAGAGCCATGATGTAAATATGAATGTATGTGCCACTTATTTATTTTTAGACTCCCCACAGCGTTTATGTCAATATGAGATTAATGCCTAAATTTTGTAAATATTGTACATTTTGTAAATCAATGAATAAAAGTTTTAAGTGTATCTCTCCAGGCCGTTCCCTGCAGGGGCACATGTCAATCACCTATTCAGGCACCCAGTTATGAACAAGGCATTGGGTTGAGCACCACAGGGAACTTCCTCCCTCCCAGGAGCTCACTTTCTAGTTGAAGGACAAGAAATGTATGCCTGAAAAGACACAAGACAATTCACTCCTGCCAAATGATTCATTTAGACAGTACGTGCTGCAGAAATCCAAGAAAGATTACCAGACTTTTCAATCAAGTATGTGGTTCCCCCAGAACATTTCTTTGTTGAGTCATGAAATATAAAAAGATTGTGTGTATGTGCTATCACCCCACTAACTCTTTATTTTAAAATCTTATTCTGTTCATGGAGTAAGAATTATGTTGCTGATGATACAATAGAAAGCATTTTCCCTTGATGTCTTCTTCTGCAACAGGAAACAAATACTTGAATAGTATAAATGACATTTTCATCTATACAATGAAATGATTTTATTTTTCACAGTAAATCATAGACACTGAAAGTGACCTTGAAAAATGCTAGCTTGCTTGTGATTCCTGGTTATTCTTTAATACCATATATTTTAAAATTTCCAGGCACATAGAAGTATCCCCCAAAGTTAAAGGGTTTCCATTAGGTTCTGGGTCAGTGCCACGGCTGGTGCCCTAGAGTGTCACTTACATACTGACATGAAGACAACTCTCACCACTGACCTTTCGAAACAGCTCTGTGTGTTCAGTGGAAACAGCCCCTTGTGTGGACTGTGCTTTTAGAAAATCTGATTTTGAAACAAAATTATATGCTAATGCAGCTTGGGGTGTTTGAAAGGGCCCTTCACTTTTTAAGACGGCATTTTATATCTCTTTGCACTTACCAGAGTTTGTTTACAGACAACACCTGGGGCGTGCCAGGGATAAAACAGACAGGGTGCCTTGGCTACGTTACGGCAACTTTTGTCTGAAATACCTGAAGAGCTTTCACAAAGGTTGTTAATACATTACCCTTAACTTACCTATAGGGAGAGAAATATTGAAAACTCATTGAAATATTGAAACCATTATAATTGGGAGAACTTGCCTCAGCGATTCAGCCATTTTTCTAAGCTTGCACAGCAACTCGGGATGGGACTAAGGCAGGACTATGAGGCATCGCATCTTTAGCCTGGAGTGTTCTCCAAAAATCTACTGGAAAACGGGTGCTGATGTTTTTAAATATAGAGATGACTGACTTAAATTTGGTGCTACAAAATCAGTGCAGATTTCCAAAATGCCTTTCAAATCAAGCCTTCATTTTCAGTGATTATGCTCTCTAGCTAATTTTAGATTCATGGCTTTTCCATTCACAAATTTATTATTGTCTTGCTATTTGAATTCCATTGCAGTTGCTGGGATTGGATGGGGGGGGTTATGTAAGTATATTTTAAGCTGACTAGAGACCTAGAATCCAGAGGCTGAGAAATTATTTCTGAGGGACCATTTGCTATTCTAATGGCAACCCCTGATTTTTGTGTATGATTTTATTTGAAAGCATTAGACATACCTTGCTTCAGTTGGTCAACATGACCCCACTCACAACTCTCACAGCTAGTGAAGGCTTTGGAATGGTTAAGGGAAGCTCCCCTGGTATTTTGTACAATGACTTTGATTCCTGATCCAGAATTCTTTGTTCCACACACACTTGTCACCAAGATGACATGTAAGATGGCTCTACCCTTCTCTGTTACTTTTACTAAAAGCCATTTCTTAGGTCACTTGTTAATTAAAATCAGATGAAATAGGACCTTAGAAAACATCTAGTGTACCCCCTTAATTTTGTAGAGGAGGAAAAGGAATCCAGAAAACTCAGACCATTTGTCTCTGAGAAAGTCACATTGCTTGTGCTAAAGAAAAGATAAAACTCATCAAAACTTCCCTCCTTACATGCTTGAAGTAACTAAGACATAGGTAATGGAAAGCAGTTTAGACCCCCTTCCCTCCCACTCACTGTGGGTTGGCAGCACCGTGAGGACCATCCGCACAGGGCAGGGCAGGGCAGAGAGGAGGAGGAGAAGGTAAGCAAGAAGGCAGGCTAGCCTGATGAAAACATAGACTGCTTGCTCTCACCTGAGAAGGAAAACATTCAGTGCAAATTCTGAATGATGTCCTAAGAAAGCAGGATGATTTATCTAAACTAGAGATGGTTTCTTACTCAGAAATGGCTTCCTCAAGTATTTTTGGCAAGTCCAGTGTCAGAAACCAGCCTCAAAAGCCATGTTTAGGTCTGGAATTGAGGCCTCCATTGAAGTCCTACTGAACTGACAGGGATCATTTTGTCAAAGTGGGGAGAGTGTGTATGAAAAGCAACTCTGTTGAGTTTAAACAAAATGAAAAAAATTTCACTAGAATATAGCCATGATGCAAGAGAAAGTGCTAAATATAGGTCATTCCCTCAATAAATCCATTCATCTTTGAGAAGAATTCAGAATCGACTCACTGTCTGACCCCTATTTCCTCCACAGAGAAGCATGACTGCTCGTGTCACGTGGGGTCTGTGCCCAGAGTCTGCGCACTCCCCACACCTGGCTGCCTTCTCCCTGGGCCATGGCTACCAGTCCTGTTTCAACGCTGCCCACCAGCTTGGCTTTACCTCCACCCTGGCCTCTCTCAGCAATAAAACAGGCCTGAGTAGCACCCCACAGTGGCATGAAGATGGGTTGCTTAAGGAGAGGAACCCTGTTTGAGGAGTTCTGCATTGAGGTGCTTTGGCTGCAAAGGTGCTGAGTGGGCCCACCAGTGGGAAAGAACATATCTGCGCTCACTGGAACTTCACTCAGCCTGGCTTGGCCCTGAACATGTTAGAACTTGGCTTATCCCCACCTTGAAGTCTTTCTAAACACTCAAAGGGTTGGGCCCATCCCTAACTTTAATATCATATTTAATTAATTAATGACCCTGTGTAGGTTTTTCTACTGACCTAAATACCAAGCGTGCTGTGTAGAGACGCACCCTCCTTGATGCAAGACAGTCCAAGACCAACACGAAATGTGTGAACCAGACCTCCCAGAAACTCTTCAAAGTCAAATAATCTAAAGAACTGAAAGCTCTATTTGCAGTACTAAAACTAGAAAAGCTTAGGCCATCCAGGGATGAACATGTTAAGAGCAGCCAATGTGCGTAACTAGTCAAATGAGCTGGCCCATCGCCACCTTCACTTTATGGGAAGGGGACAGTGAGGGCCTCTCTGCTTACTGGTTTCAGGTGCTCCAAGCTACTCAGGCAGCCTACTAGGAATCTGATTTGCTCTGGGGTCCCCAGGTTCCCTGTTCCATAAACAGGGCACAGATAAGGTGGAAAAATGCTGCCTCAAATTCACAGAACACAGGAGCTCACCCTTTGGTACACAGAGGTGATCTTTGACTCAGGCTGGAAATGCCTTTTTTTGAGGAAGACTGTGGATACTTTTGCTTTGACAGTTTCAGCCTAGTATGTGGGATACTTTATTCCAGATACTTTATGCAAAGGGAAATATATAGTTGAAAGAACAGGGCAAACTTTGAAAGGACTAAGAGAGCAGGTTGCCTGAAAGACTGTAGATCACTGTGGATAACACACTGTTCCAAATGTGGGAGCCGTGGAGAAAGGATCAGTAAGGGAGAAGCTGAAGGGAGAAGCTGAGGACGCACCAGCCGCTGCCCGATCCGCTGGGGGACAACAGGCCCCCACAAGGAGCACTAGGTGGATGGCAGGTGGGAGTTCAGTAAATAAACTGGGCAAGGATTTAAGGCCCAAATTTCTGAGATTAGCAAAAATTTCACAAAAAAGAAAGTACTAGAATCTGCTCGAACTCAGACATACGTGAAAAATGAAATCCTTCAGACCTGCTGGAAGCAGGATGTCTGGTAGTCCTTTCCTTAGGAGCACAGAGTTAAGGGGAGCAAACATTTGTGCCCTAATCCAGCAGCCTCATTCTGAGACCACACATTGGCTAACCTGAGACTAAACCCAGAGCACCCATGTCTCCTAAAGCCCCATAGCAGGGCGTCTTAATGTCAAGTACAGATTAGAATTACCTGCAGGGGGTGCTGTCTAAAAATAATGAGCAGGTAACATACCTAACGATTCTAATCTAGTTGGTCTGGGTGCTTTAAAACACCGGGTAGTTAGCCAACTTCTGCTTCCCCAGGTGATTCTGATGGGCAGCCATTAGCTTGCCCATCACTGACTGCTCCACTGGCACCAAACTTTCAAGGCATAGTCATCTACAGCTAAAGGAGACCGACCTTATACCTTTCCTCAAATTTAATGTCCATGACCCTTAGATGCCCATCCCATCCCTACCAGCTAACTCTTTTCGGAGTCAAACACCTGCTCATTTTTCGTGTCTTGGATTAAATGCATCTTCCCTGGGGAGTCTTCATTCAACCTCTCAAGTAAAGTGAGCCTTTCTTCTCTTAACTGCTGTAGAACTCTAAACTTCTCCCTCGTGACACTTAACTCACTTATAATTATTTAATTAGTCATTATTATGACTCTCCACTACACTGCAAGCTCCACAAAGATGAGTAATATCTCATTTTTATTCTTTGCTCTACTCCAAGTATCTAGTACACAAAGGATACAGAACAGACGTTTATTAATATATCAGATCAAACTGATATCACTGGACCTTATGCATATAATATTCCCTGTGAATGCAGTCCCCCCAAGAGAGTAATCTTGGCCAGTTTTTGCATAAGAGTTGGAGGGTCATCCTCCATGAGCTGACCTTGTCCAGTGATGATATTAGCATAGCCCGAGAGGAAGAAATAATTCATTTAAATTTGGTTACCAAGCAACAGAGCTAAGAAGTAGGTTTGGAGGTATTTCTTTCCCTCTGGTGCAAAGATCTTGACCAAGAGATCCTTGCTTTACCAGACTGCCCTATAGCGCCAGCTCAGCCCTCAGCTTCCACCAACACTATGCTTTATCAGAGTGCCTTGAACTTGGAAATTGTGGGCACTTGGAG